GACACTGTCAAGCATGGATGTCATTACAATTCCCCCCCCGGAAAAAATTCCTGCGCATGCCAATGCATGGCACTATTACAGGCCATACTTGACTCAGCTTAACTATCTATATTATCCTGCAGGAGAAGTCTGAAGCTGCACAGGCACATGAGAAACCTCAGAAATTTGTAAAAACCCTTATTAAACGGTTTGACAAACTACTTTGGGCGGTAACAGGTACTAGCACCATAGCCACTACAGTAGTCCTTTAACTCCATGTATTCTTCTGATGAATCAATAGCAATATAGTTCACAATTTCCTCCATACAGAAGATACATGCGCTCACCATCTGCGTGACATACAGGATTTTATTATTCCTTGAATACTTTCAATTAGCTGAACTCTTATTTGTCTTCAACAAAGCCATGCTTCTTTGCCATCTGTTTACTGATCATCAGCATGTGTTACTTACTTTTTTAATTTCACTGTTATCATTTCCTGGGCAGGTGACAAGCCCCTGAGCATCACATTTTCAAGTAACAAGCATGTCATGCTGGCAGGTTATAGCGCCAAACAGTCACAACGTTGATCATTTTCCTTTTCAGCAAAATATTAATATTTCCCATGCATTTAGAACATGTTTCTAGACAAATGTACATCAAATATATTTCACTATGTGTAGGCAGTTGCTGGAAATGAAAACAAGTGGCTTGATACCAGAGCATTGCATTGCATTTCAGAAGATAAAATATTTCCTTTAAGTTGGTTTAGATGTTTTTGTTGGATTCCCACACTTTAACGGAGTGCCAGACAGACTGACTATGAATTCCCATAGAGGTGTATTAATTAGTGCAAATATAAGCAAAACATTACCAGTTCATTTGACACATACAGCTGTTCTCAAATAGAAATGGAGTCACTGCAACAAGGATCATTTTGTACCTTCATAGACAGCATTTCAAAAAAGTGATTATTTAATTTGTGATATGTTTGTATAAACATAATGCATTGTAAATGCATAATTACAGCGACTACATGCCTATGTGCAGCAGGACATATGTTCCAACCTATAAGGGATTCATAAATAAGAAAACTTAATTTTCACCCAACACTAAATCTAGAATCCTAACAGTGACGTTCTATTGTTTTCCAATTTCATCATGTCATTTTCTTTGGTGGTCTTCATTTTCCTCACATCCCAAGTCAATCTGACAGTAATGGTGGTATGGTAGGATTTCTGCTTTTGCCCCACTGCTTCTTCAAAGCTCCACCCACCCCACACATTCCATCTCTTTCTCCACTTTTGAAGGTCACTTAATCTGCCTGTTCAAACTCATCTCTGCAAACATTATTAATTATCACCTTCCCGGTTCCCATCTGTGACAAACTCCCCTTTGTACAGGAGTTTGCCATGAGCTCCTGGAGGAGCCTGCTTGCCAGCCTACTGCCCACAGACTATGGACCTTGTGTAAAATAATGTAAAAGTCTCTGTTTGTGCCTTTTTGGAGTTATATGGCCACACTTCAAACTTTCAAAGCGGCACTTCGAATTACCGAACAACTGCACGAACCAGAGACCACCCTGGAGCTTGTTAACATCTATTAACAACTTGGAATGTTTCTCACCGCAGTGTTTTAATTGTTCATCTGGGTGGCCGCAACTCCTATAGACAACCACGTGGTGGGGGCTATCTTGTTCACATGAACACACGCAGTGGTGTTTGGGCACAAATCTCATGGAACTAAAATCAGCTACAGAATCTCCCGAACACCACTGGAATTCCATCATCGCCTGCATTCGGTTCTATACAAGTTAGAAGAGCACTGTTCAGTAGGATCAGTTGTCTGGATGAAGGGTAAGACTACTGACTCTGTTTGGTAGTTTGTTCATTTTCAAACTACCGAACTAGATCGACCACAAGCCCTGATTCTCTGGAACTGTTTTGGGCATGGAACCATGTGCAAGGTCTGTCAAAAATAAAACTGTCAGGAAATTTCTGAACCCCTGAACTGATCTGGGTGATTTTTGGATATGTTGGTCACCCAGATCAGGGCTACCAGGGGATGGGAATTTGGGGATATCATGTGTTTTGGGGAACTTTTGGGACTTTTTAGAAATGTGTGTTTTCTTCTGCATGGAGATAATTGGGTAAATGCAGTATCTGATCCAATTATCTCCCAGGCAGAGGGGAGGGATTGTATGCCTTGTGTGGGAGTGCCTTACATTGTAAATGTGTTATTATTGGTTTGGAAGTTAGTGTCCCTGTCCCCAACAAGGTCCATGTGGGCATACCCCTTGCTTGGGGACTTCCATAAAAGGCCAAGTGTGGCACCATTAAAATCTATTCCAGCTTGCACTCCAAAACTGTGTGTCATCCTGTTATTGGAGGGAAACAAGATCAACTCCTGCATCTGATTTTCCAGCTTGCAGGTGATTCAACAGGGAAAGTCCTTGTAAGGACTAGAGCTAATCCACCATTCAGCTCCAGGAAGGAGCGGTTCCAGGGCACCCAGTCAGGGGTGCAGGGAGATCTGTTACACCATCTTCCTTTCAAGTAATATTCGTTCTCTAATTAACCCACCCTTGACCTCAGTAGCCTCAAAGCTTCTTTAAATTGCTTTCTCCCTTGCGCTATCCCAGTAAGCTATTTCTGCCATGCATGTAGCTGGCAAAATCCTCAATCTTATTTTTTGAGATGCATGCATTGTCTCTAATCTCTGTAACACTCCATTACCTCTCTCAGATCACAACCTCTTACCACTTGTTCTTGAGAACCACATTCTCACCCAACATTCTTATTCTAGCCCTCATCAACTCAAGAGGAATTTAATTGACTTGACCTCCAGGAATTGTCTGTTTTCAACTCTCATCTAACCCTACTTTCTCCTGTCCCTCTAGTCAACTCTCATCTAACCCTACTTTCTCCTGACCCACTTCAAACATACACCTTAAGGAGGATGTGCCCCCAACCTTGGCACAATAAGTCAACCCGGTACCCACAGAGATGGATGCGTTCAGCTGAATGTTGCTGGAGGAAGACCTTGTCAGACTTTCTCCATTATAAATTCATTGTGCATTCATACAATGCAGTCCTCATCCTTGCTAAACAATTATACTTTTCTCTGTCATTAGTTCATATTCTCACAATTCCAGGCATCTCTTTAAAACCTTCACCTTTCTTCTTCACCCTGCTGCGTCCCGCCCTCCCTCCCACCCCCCCCCCAAAAAAAATACCATTAAGTCAATATTTTTGTATGATATTTCACTGACAAGATTAAACAGTTAAGGAAATAATTCTTCCCCCTTACTGCTCACTCTCTCAACTGCACTTAGATTGTGCCTTTCCTACTCTTTACATCTTCTCCTCAGCTACTGAACAGAAGGTGACAAAACAAATATACCTAAAAACATAGAATGGAAAGGGAACTCATAGGGTAATAATGTTATATTGAGTAACCCCCAGCATTTACGGTTGCACTCACAGAGTAGCAGAAAATTCAGGATCATCAGTCATATATAGATTCACCCCGGATTCAATAGTATTTAGAAATCCAAGAAATCCAATTTGTTTGATCGCTAATCATTTTTGATCTTTTATGTGGTCACGGATGGGTAATGATTTCCCGTGTATGTATGGACGATTTGGAACGCACCATGCATTCCAGGCGCATTGACGTCATCAATCAAGGCGGACCCATCATCACAACTTCCAGGTGTATGGAACACATTTGCCTTCCGGAAAGAACTACCGGAAGTCCATATATGGAACATGGCCATTTGAACAAGTTATAACATATGTGAAGAAGAGAAGTGATTGGTTGACAGCCAAAGGAGGGACATTTAAAAGAAAAAGCTCTGGTTTCTACACAATACAGCACTTTATTTATGCACTAACCAGCACTTTGTATACTCCTGAAGAAGTCTATATGTATTAGACAAAACGCGTAGAGTGAGTTCCTGATTTTATTTTATTATGTTGCTGTTTTGTTAAGACTGTGATATTTGTGAGGTTTCCAGTTACCGATATCGCTGGGATTTGGACTAAGACTACATTTGATGGGCTTTTTATCTATTTCCATTTTGTAAGTGTGACAATTAAAGCATGTAATTTTTACTTTATAACAGTGTTGCACTATGGTCCTTTTAATTTCTTTTCACAATACTGTGGATTTCTGAATACTATTGAATCCGGTGGAATCTATATATGACTGATAAACCTTTATTTTTTAGCTATTCTGTTAGTGCAACCTTAAATGCTGGGGGTTCCTCAATATAACGCAATTACCCTATGAGTTCTCGTTCCATTTTATGTTTTTAGGTATATTTGTTTTGTTATTTGTATATGAGGATTGAGAGGAATCTTTCTGTTATACTGTACATCTAAAAAGAAGGGAAATTAACTTTTTCTATTGATTTTGCATTCACTGCACCTGGGTGGTCTATACCTTTGTTTTATTCCAATTTTGAAAAGGAGGTGACTGTGATTTTCCTCTCCTCTCACCCCATCACATGTCCACTCATCCCATCTCACCTTATCAGATCTCTCTACCCTTGTCTTGTGCCAATGCATACGTTCAAATTCGCTTTCTTCTGACATTGTACTTGCTCCCCTTAAACATGCTATTGTCATACCTGCCTTTCTCCCATTCCCAACTGTTGTCCCATATCACTGCTCCTTTTTTCCTCAAAGCTTCAAGAATGACTTGTCTTTACCCATCTGACATGCTTTCTCAATTCCATTTCTCTCCTCAACTCACTTCAATCTTTCTTCCGCTCCATCCACACCAATGAGACCACTCTGATTAAAGTAACAAATGATCTAATCATGGCTAAATACTGACACACACACAGCCGCATACGCTGATAGAGATACTGTGTGTGTGTGTGTGTGTTAGCAGGGCCGCCATCAGCGGGTGACAACCATGATGGTTGTCACGGGCCCCTCTTTCTTTCTCTGCACACATAGATAGCGAATATCGCTATCTATGTGTGCAGCCGCGAGCCCCTGGCTCCCTGTTACCGCAGAGGGGGCCCAGACAGCACACTGCTTCTCCTCTTCTTTCTTCTAATAACTCTCGCGAGACCCGGTTATCATGGCAACGCTCCGCGGGTCTTGCGAGAGTTATTAGAAGAGAAGAGAAGAGGAGAAGCTGTGTGCTGCCTGGGCGCCCTCTGCGGTAACAGGGAGCCGGGGGGCCCCCATGCCACCGGACCACCAGGGATGGAATCTCCCCCCTCCCTGGACAAAGGTAAGCAGAGAGGAGGGAGGAACATTTAATTTAATAAAAAATTAATGTGAAAATGCCCCTTCCTCCCCCTCCCCCCCCAGATTGCACATTTACACACACACATACTGCATACACTAACACAACACAAACTCTGCATACACTAACACAACACACACACTGCATACACTAACACAACACACACTCTGCATACACTAACACACACTGCATACACTAATACAACACACACTGCATACACTAATACAACATACACTCTGCATACACTACACACTAACACACTCTCTGCATTCACTACACATTAACACACTCTCTGCATTCACTACACTAACACACTCTCTGCATTTATTACACTAACACACACACTCTGCATCCGCTACACACTAACACACTCTCTGCATTCACTACACATTAACACACACTCTGCATTCACTACAAATGTATACACACACTGCATTCACTGCACTAACACACACACTACATTCATTACAATGATACACTCTGCATTCACTACACACTAACACACACTCTGCATTCACTAAACTATGCACACACTCTGGATTCACTATACTGACACACACTCTGCATTCATTACACTAACATACACTCTGCATTAACTGTACACACACCATCCACTACACAAACATCCTGTATTCACAGTACACACACTACATCCACCACACATTGAAACACTCTGCATTCACTATACAGAGACACTGCGTCTAATACACACACTACATCCACTATAGACACTGCATCCACTAAACACATTTCATCTAGTACATACAAACACTACATCCACTACTCAAACACACTCTGCATTTACTGCACAAACATTAACTAATACACACAAACACTACATCCATTACACATATTCTAATTCACTTCCACTATACACACCACATTCAGTCCTGCATCATTGTCAGCGGACCAGGTAGGGCGTGGGTGGGCCCGGGAGGGAGAGAGGGGGGCCCAGACCTTGTGCTTTGTCAGGGGCCCCAAAATTTCTGATGGCGGCCCTGTGTGTTAGTATGTCTGTGTGTGTGTGTGTCAGTATGTCTGTCAGTGTTTGTGCCTGTGTGACAGTTTGTGTCAGTGTGTGTGTCAGTATGTCTATCATTGTATGTATTTATGTGTGTCAGTATGTCTCAGTTTATCTGTCTGTGTATCTGTATGTGTCTGTGTGTTTATCTGTGTGAGTATCTGTATGTAGTCAGTGTGTGTATCTGCTTGTGTGTCAGCGTGTTTACCTTGTGTCTGAGTACCAACAATTAATACAAATACACCCCTCCAATTAAACTTCAACATTACATACAAACACACTCCTGCATTGAAAGTCAACACTTCATACAACCACACCTCTGTGTAAAACACCAAAATTATATATAAACAAACCCAGACATTCAAAAACCAGCACTACACTTAAATGTACATTTGCATTCAAACTCTAACACCACATACAAACACATTCACACAAACATATTCCATACAAAAACATGCTTACATTCAAACACACAAACACAGTGCTAAATACAACCCTGCAAGCATGGGAAATTGGTAGAGCCCCAGCTGTCAATGCATTGTTGGAGTTGTACGACAGATAGGGTTCTACCTTCTTTCCAACCTTGCAATTGGGGGTCCAAATGACATTTTTGCACCAGGGCTCTTTCTACTTTAGTTCGCCCACTGCGTTGGGGTGGAGGCATGATTGCATGCCAGGGAGTGGGTATGTGTAGTGAATGCAGTGTCTCTGTTTGTGTAGTGGATGTAGTGTGTGTATTGTGTGTAGTGAATGCATTGTTTCTGTGTATAATGGATGCAGTGTGTCTAGTAAACGCAGTGTGTATGTGTGTGTGTGTAGTGCATGCAGTGTGTGTACAAGGCATGCACTGTGTGTAGTGCAATGACAGACACACACACACACACTCACTGACAGACACACACACACTGTCACTGACAGATACACATACTGACAAACACTGTCTGACAGACACACACACACTCACGCACACTGTCACTTATTAATAAAAAAATTTGAGACCCAGTCACAGTTTACTTTCAGCAGGAATATAGACCAATCATAACTTTCCTGCATGTTACTTGTGAAGGAGCAGTTAGCTAATTATTATTATTAGTGAATGGGTGATTGCACTGCATTATGATATATATATCTATATATAATTAGTCAGAATCTCAACAGCTAAATACATACCACTTCAACTCATTGTATATGTTTTTCTATATAGAAAGCACAATAGGTTTATTTGTTTTAGTATTAGTATTGCTTTGCTAATTTAAGATTACGCAATATTTATATTCTTGGAAGGGCTGAGAAAATTATGTTGTCATATTTAGTATTGTATGTAATAAGCTGTTGCACAATTCCTCTAAATCTGAGTTTCAGTTGTATTTTTTGTTATCAATATGTTTACTAGACATGTGCATTAGTTTTAGGATGAATACGATTTTGTCCGAATTTTCTGACTTTTTCGTATTCATTTACTATAACATAAACGAAAGTTCTTCATACGAATTATATACGAAACAAAAGGGCAAATGCACATGAATGGCAGGTGGGGGCCCTAAGTAACAAAAGGGGGAGTGGATACTTATTGTTATACCCCCCTTCGGCCCCACCCATGAGCGGTGGGTGGGGGCCCTAAGTAACAAAAGGGGGGGACCTATCGTCTACCCGCTCATGGGTAGGGGCCCTAAGTAACAAAAGTCACCCCCAACCAGGTGTTTTTTTTGTTTTTTGTTTTTTAAACCAACCACTCAGAGCACTCTGAGTCAAATTGCAGGGTGTGGGAAGGCTTTATAAGCCTTTCCCCACCCTGCAGAGCACAATTTGCATGGTGCCCTTGCTGGGTGAAGATGGATTTTTTTTTTTTTGGTGTTGTGTTTTTCTTTTTTCAGAGTTTTTTTTGGAACTCATGTATTTTTTTATTTTTTTTACCGTTAGATGGAAATTATGGCTTTTTATTTGGCCATTTTTGGTGCTGAAAAAAGAAGGTATAAGAAAAAAGAAGACATCTAAGTATAATTTTTTTTTATTTACTGGTATTTAGTTTATTGTTCCTTCTTACTATTTTTAGGGTGAGAGGGTAGGTAGGGTTTAATTTTATTGGGGAGGGCGGTGACTAGGGGTTTGGGCACCCCTAGTTATTTGTTGGGGGGGTATTTTTATATTTAGCTCCCACCCACCAATCATGGGTGGGGGCCGGGTGAGTCAGTAGGTCCCCTGCTTTTTTGTCATTTAGTGCCCCCATCCAACGCTCATGGTTGGGGCTACGAGTGGAGGACAATAGGTCCGTCCCCCATTGTCTGTTAGGGTCCCCACCCGCCGCTCAAGGGTAATGGGCCCCCCCCTTATTTTCATTTAGGGCCCCCACCCACCTCTCATGGGTGGGGGCAGGTAGGACAATAGGTCCCCCCGATTGTCATTTAGGGCCCCCACCCTCTGCTCATAGGTGGTGGCCGTGGGGGGGCGAAGTACAATAGACTCCCCCATTGTCCATTAGGGTCCACACCCGCTACTCATGCGTGGGGACCTGGGGTGGTCATTAGGTCCCACCCTTTATTTAATTATTTAAAGTCCCCACCTGCCGGTCGTGGTTGGGGACCTGTGGGGGGACATAAGGTCCCCCCCGTTATTTATTTAACTAAGGTCCCCACCCGACGGCCATGGGTGGGGGCCTGAGTGGTACACTAGGTCCCCCCTTTTATATTAATAGCCCAACCCTCGGGTCACAGATGGGGATGTCCCCCCATTTTTGTTATTTGTGTTCCCCCCATGGAGGAACAGACCAGGTCCCCCGGTGTAGTAGGGGCATGTCGCCTAAACAGCGAGCAGCCAGTGGCAGTCATTTAAAACTGTATATAATTCAATATCTTATATAGAAGTGATAGAGAGCTACGGTAAGAGTACGTGTAACCGATAGTTAAAGCAAGAACAATTACAATGTCGCAATATGAAAAAGTAGCTATTTATATCAGTAACACAACTATTGGTTACACATACTCTTATCGTAGCTCTCTATCACTACTATATAAGATACTGATTTATATCCAGTTTTAAATGACAGCGAGCAGCCACTGGCTTTAGACGGCAGGCCCCTACTCACAGGAGGGGCATGCAGGAGGATTTAACCTCCCTTTTATTAATATGCGGGCCATAGTGAGCCCCATAGGTTTAAATGCCGGTGGGGGAATGGGGGAGTAGGAATTGTTCATATTATTACAAGGAAGGAGCTGGTAGCGCTGCCGGCTCCCTCCTTGATTTTTTTTGTTTTTAACATGCACAGTGTTATTTTTGTCCTAATGGCCGAAAATAAATTCATTTTACTGGTGCACATGTCTAATGTTTACTGATCTTATAAAAAAAATAACAGGAACATTAAAATAACGACACATCTATGAAATATCTTCAGTTGTAGATGCCTTTTTATTCAATGCCAGGAAGTTATTGTTGAAAAATCATTTGCTCTAGCCATAAATCTATCGCCTTTAGACAAACAATGTATTTTTACTCCAGTACAATACAAATCTCCTCCTAATGTTGTCAGAGTATTTCCACTAGCAGCCATTTTGTGTATAGATAGAAATTAAAAATGTATACTGTAAGTCACCACTTAGCAGATGTGACTCCATTTTGTAACAAAAATGCAAAGACAGACACATTTTTATTTCACTGTAACTATTCATTCAAACCCTAAGCATAGGAATGCGGCTAACAAACATTGACCAGAGATGACATGTTTGATCATATAATGTAACTAAACCCCCATAATTTTTGCCTAGATTAGGTGTTTTTAAAAAAACAAAAAAAATCTGTCAACATTGAAGTTGCTGTTAAGTGGATAAGTGAGTGCGCTGGATCTTGTGTATTGTATAAATTGGCCCCCATTAGCACCCCATTTATGCATGTTCAGGTGA